GCCCCCCCCTTTCAACACCCCCCCCCCCCCCCCACGGTAGATATTGCTTCTTAAGACTACCGTTTGGACTCGTATGTGCGCAGGATATCTTTCTGAGAAAGGTCTATGAAACATTTGGAGACCTCCCTGGCGTAACAGGAATCGCAGACGATATTGTGGTCTATGGTAAAACCCGTCTGGAACATGACACAAATCTCAGAGCTGTCATGAAACGAGCAAAGAATGCTGGCATACGTTTCAACCCCGACAAGTGCATCATAGCCTGCAACAAGCTTCCATTTTTTGGGCACATCCTCACTAACGAAGCCTGAAGTTGGACCCCAAGAAAGCAGAAGCAATTTCCAACATGGATCCATCTACAAGCCTTGCCGATCTACAAACCTTTCTAGGTACGGTACAGTTCCTCAGCCGTTTCATTCCCAACCTTGCGTCTGAGTCCGCAGTCCTTTGGGATCTCACCAAGAAGAGCAGCGAGTTCCAGTGAAACCCGGAGCACCAAGCAGCAGTGAGCAAGATCAAGAAACTGATTACAGACCCAAGCTCTCTTCAGTATTTTGACAGCCGCAAGCCAGTAGTAATTCAGGTCGACGCCTCTACCCGTGGCCTGGGAGCAACGCTCCTCCAAGAAAATGGACCTGTTGAATATCGAAGTAACTTGCTAACCGAGACAGAGCAACGTTACTCTAACATCGAAAGAGAAATGCTTGGAATTGTCCATGGACTTGAAAAGTTCCACTATTACGCCTATGGCAGACACGTAGTTATCGAAACTGACCATAAGCCTCTTGAAACGATATTCAAGAAGAACCTCGCTAGTGCGCCTCCAAGAATTGCTAGAATGATGTTGCGGATACAAAAGTATGATGTTGAGATTAAATATGTACCTGGGAAGGACATTCCTTTAGCCGATGCATTGTCACGTTTGAGCCCCTGCGAAGCTGATGAAATAACAGGTTTAGATATTTCAGTCCACGAGCTACATCTACACCTCAATGCAAGTAACACTAGAATTAAACAGATCCAGGTTGAAACAGCGAATGACCTCGAACTTACCTCACTTCGATCAGTCATAAGTGTTGGTTAGCCTGACAAGAGATCTGATTGTCCTCCTCACCTTTATCCTTATTGGAACTATCGCGATGAGCTGACAGTCGCAGATGGTATGATTCTTAAAGGTACAAGAGTGCTTATTCCGAAAACCCTTCAGTTAGAAGTGTTGGCCCAATTACACTACGCCCACCAGGGGTCGGAAAAGTGTAAGCTGAGGGCAAAGGGTTCCGTGTTTTGGAACAACATCAACCGTGACATCGACAACATGGTTAGATCATGTGGACCGTGTCAACATAATCAACACATGAATGCGAAAGAGCCTCTCACACCACATGATGTACCACCTAAGCCATGTAAGTTTTCAAAATTGTAAGTATGTGTAAGGTTTCTGTAAGGTTTCATGTAAGGTTTCAAATCGCGGTATTTGCCGATATCGGTAATCGCTACAGAAAAACAGAACAAATTACAGTATTAAAATCACAACAAACCGCGGAAGTGCATGGGACAATTTTTGTATTTTTACTGTAAGACATGTAGAACATGTACGAAATCCATACAGAAGCGTGTGTGTATTCTATACTTTTGAAACAACTAAATCAGACTTCGGAAAATTTGACCGTATTAATTAAAGCTGCTTTTGGGAATTTAGATTTTTAGGTCTTCGTTTTTATACATGTACCCAGACCAGTAAATATTTTTGAGTTTTGAATTTTGTGTATAAGTCAACACCAACGCCTCAAAGGCGAAAAGGAGGGCAAGATTGTTAGAATTGCTATTGTAAACATGAGCAGTTTCGAGAATAAACAAAAAATTGAAACGAGTAATTTTTACACATCTGATTGACTAAATTCAGGAAGCCATTTAAGTGTACGCGTATTTGTTACAATTCCGATCAATCATTTAAGTGTACGCGTATTTGTTACAATTCCGAGCCAGAGTAAATTGTAAACAAATTGTAAGCTTGTGAGAATCAAAGTTGAAAACTCAAAAATATTTACTGGGTACATGTAAAACAAAGACCTAAAATCTAAATTCACAAAAGTAGCTTTAATACTGTCAAATTTTCCGAAGTCTGATTTAGTTGTTTCAAAAGTATAGAATACACACACACTTCTGTATGGATTTCGTACATGTTCTGCATATGTCTTACAGTAAAAATACAAAAATTGTCCCACTTCCGCGGTTTGTTGTGATTTACTGTAATTTGTTCTGTTTTTTCTGTGGCGGTTACCGATTTATCGGCAAATATTTTATAATATAATAGTGAATGATTCCGAATATTCAAAACGGATTGAAAGAATGAAAGCAGTAATTATGTATAACGGTTTAAACCGGCGTAGGCCGTACACGGCACACTGCTCACTGGTCACTGGGACGAAGGATAAACCGAAAATTCACTTCTCTCCATGACAAGCTTTTATAATGTTCAGTCGATCCGCTACATTGAAAGATGAGTACTTGGCTATATTTTGGCAGGGGGTAACGAAATATATCGGCTGTTCTCTAAGTTTTTCCTAATGCGTTGGCCATCGGAATATAATATAACTACATAACTCATAAGCTTGATAGATATGTGACGAGTTTCACAGGCACAATCCTATTTTAAATACTATGGCTTTTGGCAGTTTTGCATCATATGTGCAGTAAAAGCCCCATTTTTCTACTTCCTCAACATGTAAAACGCGAAAAAACTTTATTAATAAGAACAAAAATTTGTAATAAAAATTTGTAGTAAACAGTGTATTTTATTATAAAGGATTTTCGTTTTTCTACTGCTCCGTAGTTCGTGTGCTCCGTGCTCCGTGTGCTCCGTGCTCCGTGTGCTCCGTGCTCCGTGTTTTACTAATAGCCGCAAAATAACCCATTAGAAGTATGCACAAAATACACCGATGTACCTGTGAAATGTTCATTTTGTGACATCCTAAAGACAGACAATTAGCATTTTAAAGCTCCTCCCTCGGGCTAGGCCCGACGGAGCAAAAATAAACATTGTCTAAGCCGAGAAAATCAAAGCTGAAGTTTATGTAAATCAGGACAAATCTTTATGCGATTTACAAACATTGATTAAACATTCATTTCTTTTGAATTTTCTTCATGAATTATTATTAATGAGTTTTATAATTTTGTCTAATGAGTTAGGGACGGACCATTTGATTTTTCATGGGGGGGGTGCGCAAATCCGAAAAAAAATATCGAGCATGTCTCGAATGGAAGAAAAAAAAATCGAACATCACTAACACCAGCAAAAAAAAATATCGAGCACAAAAAAAATTCTAAATTAGCAATACTCTATATTGAAAGAAAAATTCAGTTTCCCTTAGTTTTTTTCTGTTGAGTGTTTCGGTTCTGCCTTGGTTAACAATACCGGAAGTATACATGCAAAATACAAACCGATTACCGATACAAACCAGTTCTGACAACTTTGACTTCAATAATTCAATTATCCACAAATTACCTTAATGGTATCCCTAAAAACCCCAAACTTAACACTGAAAG